ATGAGACAGATTAGCTGCACCAGTGGGTTCAGCTGCTGGCGCGATCACATTTGTTGTGACGTCAACAATGCTATTTTCGTTCATGGTACGCTTTTGCGTTAGTCTTTGATTGGTGGTTTTGTCTGAGACTATACGAGCGTTTTTAAACTTCGTATGCGCACAGACTCGCTGTTCAGATTCTTTCAAACGTTCCGCTAATAAATGGGAATCAAATCTAAACAGGATAGGGCACGAGTATTTTTGATGCTTTTTGTTAAGTCTGATACATTGACATGGACTGTCCTGGAGATTAGCTGCCTTTAGTATCAAATTTCTTACAGTTTTAATGTCAACTTTGTACGGTATACTATATATAATCACATTATTTCGAGAGATTATTCGCTTGGTGACTTCACTAGCTATCAAGTCAATAACGGATTCTACTTTGATCCTGTCTTCGAGTTCAGAGGTAACTACATCCTTTGACAACAGCAGTTTAAGGGATGACAGTGTCTTTAGTTCTAGCTGAAGATCATCATGCTTTAATGAAAAGCACACAAGTCACTCCACTTTAAAGTGGAGTCTAATTAGAACGCATGTCGCTTAATTGCTTATAGACAGCGGCTAATTCGCTTTAATTATGATCGATACCTTCAGCGCGTGAGTTAGAACTCATTATTAAGTTTGACATTGAGTCATCCAGCAACATGTGTGGAATAAGTCCACTCCCACTATTATCTGATGCAACAGGAGTTGCAGAGCATGGAGTAAAGGTAAGACCAGAGTTGTTAATCTCTGAAGAAATAGGACTTTTTCGAGCTCGTTTTTGTGTCAGTCAAACCATTTTCCTTTAAGGGTTAATTGAATGTTATTATTGATTTATAAAATAGGGTTAAACGATATAAAAGCACTTTATAATAAATACCGTGTAAGCGTAACGCAAACTTCAAACTTCAAACATGAGAATTCATCCCAGTCTGCTGCTGACGATGGAGACTAACGTAATTGTCAGACTATCAACGGATTCTTCTACAAATGCTTCATTATGGAGACATTCATTTCGATACTGTTGCAAAGTTAAGAGGAAATTACATTATCAAACAAACCGGAAATATTGTTGATAGTTCCTTAGCTTGATGAAGTGAGGATACAAACATATCTTCAACATAACGATAACTGAACTCATTTGATACTAGATGAGTAATAATTACAGTGTTCATGCATATCTGATGCAAGTCCATCTATGAGTACACATGAAAACTATTTGTTTAAACTTCAGTCTCTCTATACATAGTAGTAACCATTTTTAAAAATGAAAAATTATTTCACCTATGTTCCGTATACTCAAGTGACTGTCGGTCATACGAAAGCATCATTAGTAAACAACATTCCACATCATATTGAACATTTATATCAGGCTAAATATACAAATGAAAAAACCATCATATATATTTAGTTAGATTACAAGGTAGTGATAAACAACAAGAAAGTTCAATCAATGACATTTGCAAAAACAATATCTGAGGTCAACAAACTGATGGTTTTTCTTTCTTATAATCACACGATCAGGTAGTGTATACTATTATTATCATCATCATTGTTATTACCTTGATAAAAGTATTTCATATGAAAATAACGCACATTAGATAGGAAGAACACAAATAGGAAATGTGATATGTAATATTGAAATAGATATTCCTGTCTGATTCGTCATTTAACAGTCCTCAGTGTAAAAAGATTTGAGTGGGCAAATGTAGTGCATGTTGTGATTAGCTCAAACAAATATGGTAGATCAAGAATAATATCTTTTTGTTGGAAAATATTACCTTCCTGATCACTTCAACCATTCTCCTTTGTTGTCTAATACATTATGGTCTCGAGTACAGTGTAATTGTAAAAGATTAGCGTTCAGTTGACTCTAATGAAGATGACGAAATGCCAACAAATAAAATAACAAACAACTAGTAGACTGTTATCTCGCATCACATTTTCTCTCCAACAATCACCAATGAGCATAGTACCTATTGAAGCTGTGTGTTCCGAAATCGAATCCGTCAAACAGCATCAGTTCCCTCAAGAATACAGGTACACCTTGCTGATTAGTGACAAGTATCAGGAGAATCGGGTTCACAGTTTCCTGTTCATCACCTCCAAGCATCATCTTATCTGTTTACTCAGTTGAAGATTTGAGTGAATCGACTACTTAGTATACTGAAAAAACACTTTGATAATAAAATTTCCCTAATATTTATTTCAAATTCAATTGTTCTGTAAACTCTAGGTTGATTGCATGATTGTGAATGTTCGAATAATGGTGTATAGTGTGTGTTGGGTTAATTGAAGCATCAGGATCGGGTGAGTTTGTATGAGTTCAGTTCGTTGAGCGTGATAAGAATTTTAGGAATGATAATGTATGTCACTCTCTATCATTACATTCATGTGACTGATATTGAGTGATGGTAACCGACACTACAAGACAATAGATAATAATAAACATAAGCAAAGAGGCTAACTATGTTTCTACTAATATCGTCAATTGAAATCACACATTCCTTGTTAAAAACAGCTTTCTCATTAGCATTAATTGAAATTGTAGTAAAGGAGAACGCTAGTGACGATAAACGTATGTACTTGAATAGAGAGTTACAGAATCCCCCAGAACAATCTGAGAACCATACAGTAAATTCTTTTTTCGCAAAATTTCAACCAATTTCTCACACTTGGTTGTTTATTCGTCTCAACACCAATCATTCCCTGTTCTAGTTGTGTTTCTCTTTCCTTTGAGATTCTCAACTCTCTGTCATCAGGCATTTGACTTTGTTTCATGAGATATACTGCTTATATCTGTTGACGTCAGTGAACACTTTTCTCCGGTGATGTTTGGTAATTTATACGTTACATTATGGACTGAGCTTGATTAAGGAATAGTCAGTTGATCAGTTGCTATTATCTCTTATTTGTTATAAGGATTATGGACAAGAATGATTTGTGATGTTCCTCACAAAATTGATTTATCATAATAAAACAATTAATAATTATTGAATACATATGGATGGACATTTTTATTCTCCCATTTGATTACTAACATCCAGTTAAGTAGTATCTGATTGTTAAATACGATTTCATAATCTTCACTGAACAATAGTATCTAATACTTTTCATTCTTTATCAAACAACAAGGGCATCATTTCAATGTGTGTATCTTTAAATAAGAAAGATCTAGTTTAATGTGTAAAGCTAATACATGAAACGCTAAAAACCTGCAACGTGTAAAGATTTCAAAATTACTTATTTATATCTGTTACTCGTCATGAAGGAGCATAGGTCAACCAACAGCAGTACTACTGCATCCTACTCTTATGACCAACACTTTCCAGTTGTTTCCAGTTGCGGCTGCTTCCAATTCTGGAAGTAGTGTGCTTTTTGACCTTACACTTTTCTGTTTACATTCATGCTTTAAAGTAGGGTCTGACCTCGTAATGCAGTTTGATGATTTCCTCGAAGTAAGCTCTATGTCATCTAAACTTTTTTTTCCAAATTTCCTCTCTAGCCGAAAGTTAGTCTCAATCGTTTCGAAAAACATTTTTGATCATACAGTCAATTTTCAATCGAAGTATTTTTGAAATTACCTACCGTGATTATTCATTTTAAAAACCGGTAAACAAGATTCATTTTTATTTGTTTTAAAGAAGACATACAGCAGTGTGCATGAACGGTTCTGCATAATGGACTCTAATACAAGGTATTTGATTTAACTCATGCACAGTTACCTTTTGTACCACTGAACTAGCATGCAATCATATCAAATCGGTAACAACAAGCGCATGTTCTCTGGTATTGTTAGATATTTTTCTCATGAATTTCGACGATTTTAGATTTCTCCCTATTGACTCCAGTTTTTCATCAAGCTAATGGATTATTACTAACATAACCTATTGATATGAAGGTACTGAATAATATCCATGCGGCCAATAACCTATGGCGTAAAAATGAAAGTTCATCCACAATTACATGAGACTTCTCATATATTATTCTCCTAGATAAATCATATTTATATTTGATTATATTTCAATTATCAGCTCATCAATTAGTGATGTTCTTAAGAACGTTGAAACGTAACCCCACGGTTCTATGGACAACTGCTTGTGGCCCATCGCGCACACTCTTTTTATTGTAGAGAACTTGATGTGCTGGCTTTGTGCTTCAAAATGACCTTCCACCGGAGACATAAGTGGATGGGATAAGGTGAAGTATCACACATTCTGAGTTGTCTCTTTATAATCATTGCATCAGTTATGATAAAGCAACATTACCTTACATGTGTGCGGTTTGATGATAGCACATTATTGCTGTCACAGGCTTATGTACTGATTAGCTCGACATCGCCCTCAAACATTAAGTTACTAATTTTAGTCTTGCTAATCTCACTACAAAAGGTTTGACAAAGTATGACGGTAAGCAATACAATTTTTACCCTACATATATTAGTTGATTTATGACGGTAGGCAGGCCTGATCAACACGTCAAGGTAACAATTACGTTCAGTCTCATTGTTTATATACATCATTATTTAACCACGTTAGAAATTGTTCTCAAGCACGTAGAAAATGCTTACTTCTAAGAGGTGAATAAATTATTACACGAAGAGTAAGATGAATATTCTATGTAATTCATCTATTTAAAGTCCGTATGAATATACGACAGATGAATTTTGCTAGTTATAACTTCACCGGATTAAGTAATTTTCAAACGATAATCTTTAACTACTCAAATGAAATTTCAGTAGATGTTCACTACACAAATAATTGTGTTCATATCATTCACTGTATTATTATTATTATTATTATTATTATTATTATTATTATTATTATTATTCAATTATTCGGTCGGTTAAAAATAAATTGAGTTCTCATTAGATAATAGAAATGATAATTGAAATTAACAAGAATGATTGACTATCACCGAATCTTTATCTGTAATTGAAATAATGGACCCCATCATAACAATAATGTGTATGATGGATGTTATTATCATCATCATCATCATCATCATCATCATCATCATCATCATCATCATCATCATCATCATCATCATCATCATCATCATCATCATCATCATCATCATCATCATCATCATCATCATCATCATCATCATCATCATCATCATCATCATCATCATCATCATCATCATCATCATCATCATCATCATCATCATCATCATCATCATCATCATCATCATCATCATCATCATCATCATCATCATCATCATCATCATCATCATCATCATCATCATCATCATCATCATCATCATCATCATCATCATCATCATCATCATCATCATCATCATCATCATCATCATCATCATCATCATCATCATCATCATCATCATCATCATCATCATCATCATCATCATCATCATCATCATCATCATCATCATCATCATCCAAATCATCATCATCATCATCATCATCATCATCATCATCATCATCCAATCATCATCATCATCATCATCATCATCATCATCATCATCATCATCATCATCATCATCATCATCATCATCATCATCATCATCATCATCATCATCATCATCATCATCATCATCATCATCATCATCATCATCATCATCATCATCATCATCATCATCATCATCATCATCATGAGCATCATGATCATCATCATCATCCTAATTCGTCATTATAATGGCAAGTTGATGAGTGACCATGATTTCGATGACTTCCAGTTCAAGCTGAATTCAGAGCGTTTTTGAAGAAAACGAAGAAGAGGATTCATGAAATTTGTTTATACCATATCCTATAAGACTTTAAAAAGCAACTTAAGTAAACAAACAGATAGAGATTCCCAAATTTGTTCTATTCTCTCCTCAAATTAAAAAGAAACAAAGAAAGAGATTACCTTCATGTTATACAATGTTGTTTTGATCAATTCTACAAACCTCAATTGAAGTCAATAACATGAATGATTAGTAATGTATCATATGTTGTATGAAAGAAGATGAAGATTCATAGTAGAACTAGATAATTACATTATACACAATGTACATTGACCACGACCTCATTTCATTATGAATGGTTTTATAAAGAATGATCATTTTAAGATATTGAGACTTCTCATTAGTATCTCTTAAAAATAATCAATAGTTGTCTTTTGTTATTTAATATGCTTGAGTATAAATTTATTTTACTACGATTACTACAAACTCATCAGCAAACGCGTCAATGTCCGACTACTTTGACTGTTGTAAGCCAACTTTAACAAATGGAAGAAAGCATTACATCTGATCATAGAAGTAGGAAGAATGCCCGTCATCTGAACTGACGAGCTTTAGGTCTTGTGAACTGTATAATACCCTTAAACCACTGACACAGCATACAGTGATTTATTAACTGATATCAGTTAACAGGTGGTGTGGCAATATCAACCTGTTTTTGCTGAGGAGTCACAGATTAAGATGAACCGCGGTTCAATATATCATGGTTGTCAGTGGTTTTCTAGCTTATATTAGTTCGTGATGTTAATTCAATTCAACGATCAGTACAAATCATTATTGATGAAAGGTAACAATTGTGCATTATTTATTACTTTTGTAAAATAACAATGACAAGTTTGATGTAGTTCATTGTCAGTAAGGTAAACATAATTTCGGATGTATTTTTATTTCGTTTAACATGGCTATGTCAATCAATAAATCAATATTTTTTTGATGGTGAACATAAGAATATCTGTTAGCACAATGTTTAAAAGGTCAAAATGTGGGGGGGGGAAAGGATAAGAACGGAAATCAGTTGATGTGGAAATGGAGGAACACATGAAATCTGAGATAGTTGATTGACAATTTTGCAAATAAAGAGACTGGTAGATCCTGGGTTCGAATCCTGCGACAGCGGGTTCGTGGATGCGCACTATTGAGGAGTCCCATAATAGGACGAAACGGCCGTCCAATATTTCCAGGTTTTCCATGGTGGTCTAGCTTCAATTGACTCACGCTTTCAACTATGAAAAATAAAGTGTAAGCTGTATTATTATGCAATTTTACTAAGATATTCTGTAAATCTACTTTAACATACATAAGACTATCTCTATTTGTGTTCGCATACACTACTACTTGAATGATTTTAAATATCTTTGATAATTATTTAAAACTCTACTATTTTACCACATGCTTACTACATCCTTAATAAATCAACTAAAAATGCGTCGTCAAACTAGTCAATGTAACACCTTGAGACAATGAGTAAGGGAGAGTGTGCTTCATTCTGTGTGGTTGACACTTGTCAACCCATTTTGTCTGCAACCCACATATTGATGTTCACACTAAGTTAAGCAATCGGCATACATGAGTTGATGATTTGGATGATGATGATGATGAAAAATGCGTTTGTACATTGTCAGAAATTTAAATGATCAAAGAGAAACTTCACTGAAAAGTCTTCATTTGTATGAATGTTGACTGGTGTTATTGAGATAGATATTGACGCATGATTCACAATTCCATAAAGCTTAGAGTTGACTGTTTATTTCGTTATTTTTCATATTTTGCCTTCTATAGTTTTGTTAACTGAACACACACCTTTCACATTTATAATTCACTGAAGACCATATTGCACAGTCAAAAGGAATATGTATGATTAAAATGATTCAGAAAATGACATTGTGCGGCAGAAACGAATTACAACCAATAAACCGTATTTATTTCATCTCAACATAATATGAGCCTCTACAGTCTTCTCACTGAGGACTATTACATCGACTATTTAGTTATGAATGAGTGTATAAGTGTCTATGACAATTCATATACAGATATTAGGTATATAATCGGTCGAGATCTTAAGATTTTTTCAGATTTATCAATTAGAGTGCTCAGAACACTGTTTTCACGTTATTATTTGTGAATTCATCTCCAACACATACTACATAGTTATCTCTACGTTAATTTACACCGTCGGGAAGTTCGAGAAAGTTCTTATGAATATTCTTTTCTGAGTCTTTAGCTAAGGAAGGGCATCATGACTTGGTGAAACGTATACAAACTGGTTTGTCTAATGTTACTGTTGATTGTGTGCCGAATTATAATATATAAGTGAATATGCATAATGACGAAGTGAGTGTGAACACGCAGTTAATAAATATGAAAAAGAGTTCAATGTCTGTGTCGATGTTGTTTTATCTGAAAGCAATTAAAGAGTGGTTTGTATTAGATATCGGAACGTTTATCACTACCGTGTAATCTAATCTAACTAAATCTGCTGAAGTTTCATTTGAGTAGTTAAAGATTATCGTTTAAAAATTACTTAATCTGGTGAAGTTATAATTAGCAAAATTCATCTGTCGTATATTCATACTTACTTACGTCTGTTTTCCCTCGTCGAGGAGCATAGGCCTCCTGGTACTGATAACAAACTGATGCCTCTGTAATTCTCACATTGGCTCAGATCTCCTTTCTTTGATATCTTGATGAGATATCTATCTTTCCAGTCCGTTGGCACTTGTTCCTCTTCCCAAATCTTCTTGAATAGAAGGTGAAGCATGTTTGCAGTTATTTCAATGTCTGACTTCAGTGCTTCTGCTGGTATATTGTCAGGTCCTGCCGCCTTCCCACTTTTGATTTGTCTGATGGCCATCTTGACTTCTTCGATCGTTGGTGGAGTGACAGATATAGGAAGGTCAGTGTGTGCTGCTCCGATGTTCGGTGGATTCAATGGGGCTGGTCTATTCAACAGTTCCTCGAAGTATTCTGCCCATCTTTTTCTCCGTTCTTGAATCTCAGTGATTGTCTTTCCTTCTTTGTCTTTGACTGGTCTCTCTCGTTTACTATATCTCCCTGCCAATTTCTTCGTTGTATCATATAGTTGTCTCATATCCCCTTCTCTTGCAGCTTTTTCCGCCGTCGTTGTTAGTTCTTCCATGTATTTCTGCTTGTCGGCTTTAATGCTTTTCTTCACTTCCCTGTTTGCTTCTGCGTAGTCTGCTTGTGCTTTGACTTTCTCTGCTCGTGTTCGGCTGTTGTTGATGGCTAGTTTCTTGTTCTTCCTTTCTTGAATTTTGTCCAGGGTTCCCATAGAGATCTATTCCTTGTGATGATGCTTCTTAGGACCAAGAACCTCCTGACACGTTGAAGTTAGTGCTTCTTTTATCCCTTTCCAATTGTCCTGCAAAGTAGTTCCTTGTTCATTCAGTAGATCCTGTAGAGCATGGAACCTGTTGTTGAGAGTCATCTTGAATTCATGGAGCTTGTCAGTATCTCGAAGGAAGGCTGTATTGAACCTTTGTAGTGCTGTTTGTCCAGTTGTCCAGTGTTTCTTTCGCTTCAGTCTCATCTTGGCCACAACCAGACAGATAGTGATCTGAAGCTATGTCAGCTCCTCTCCGGGTTCTCACATCTTCCATTGATCTTCGGAATATTGTGCCGCCTATAACCAATTTGTTGAAAGCACATACATTTGCAAGTCTCTCCCCATTTACATTTCTCATCCCAATCCATGTCGTCCAATTACATCTTCATATCCTGTGTTGTCCACTCCAACTTTAGCATTTAGATCTCCCATAAGGATGGTGAGGTCCTTTCGTGAACATTTCTCTATAATTGATTGCAGCCTTTCATAAAACTGATTTTCGTCGTTGATATCATTGGTGGGTGCATAACATTGGATAACGTTCATTGTGATCCCCTCCTTCTTTGTTATGAATGATGCTTCAATTATCCTGGGTCCATGAGATTCCCATCCCACAAGTGCATTTCGTGCTTCTTTGGACAGCATTAGAGCAACTCCCTGAGTGTGTGGAGCAGTTTGCTCCTCGTGACCGGAGTACAGCAGCATCTCTATTGTACCTAGCCTTTGATGTCCAGTTTGCGTCAAATGGGTTTCGCTGATTCCGAGTACTGCCAAGTTGTATCTCCTAAATTCCATTGCTATTTGGCTGGCCTTTCCTGTCTCCCACATTGTCCGGACGTTCCATGTACCTATAAAGAGTGTTGATCTGGTTGTTAGAAGGTGCATCGGTCTCGTGACTTCCGAAGAATTTCGGCTTTCATCATGAGACATCATAATTATTCCTTCAACTTGGAGGGCAGAGTTTAAATGGTTTGAATTATTTTTTCTGGTTAGCGTTTTTTTAGCGAGTTAGCTTTTCTACGGGATGGGGTAGCTAACCCCATGCCCAACCCTCCTCATTTACCCGGGCTTGGGACCGGCAGTAACTATAGAAGAGCTACAGGCGGAGTTGGTTGAAGTGATCAGGAAGGTAATATTTTCCAACAAAAACATATTATTCTTGATCTACTATATTTGTTTGAGCTAATCACAACATGCACTACATTTGCACACTCAAATCTTTTTACATTGAGGACTGTTAAATGACGAATCGGACAGGAATATCTATTTCAATATTACATATCACATTTCCTATTTGTGTTCTTCCTATCTAATGTGCGTTATTTTCATATGAAATACTTTTATCAAGGTAATAATAATAATGATGATGATGATAGTAGTATACACTACCTGATCGTGTGATTATAAGAAAGAAAAACCATCAGTTTGTTGACCTCAGATATTGTTTTTGCAAATGTCATTGAGTGAACTTTCTTGTTGTTTATCACTACCTTGTAATCTAATCTAACTAAATCTACTGAAAATTCATTTGAGTAGTTAAAGATTATCGTTTGAAAATTACTTAATCTG